ATATCATCATCCGATATATATCGTTATATCGAACAGCCCTAGTGGCATATTTGTTAAATAAGTGTGGTTTGCAGAGACCCATATCTGATCTCCTGTACTAGATATGGTGCACTCATTTAAAAAAAAAAAAAAAAAAAACTTAACCTAACAAATGTAAAATAGTTAGCTTGTATATAATCAACATTTGTGAACTGGAGGTAGAAAAAAAAGGTTTTGACCTAGAGGTCACAAGAAAAAGAGGGGGGGAAAAAACAAAAAAAAGAGCTTTGCAAACAAGATTTTCAATGTTTGACACAGTTCAGGTAATAACACCTAAAACCCAAGTACAAGTTTGACCATTTCAACATCATCTGAGCAATATGTCTGTGAAGGTTCTCAGTCATCCAGGTCATCGTAGTCTAACTGTCAGAACTGAAGAAACTTCTCGGATGAGAGGTGAAACATCTTCAAGCAACTTAAAGAAGTCCAGACGCTCTTTTCTTTCTAAGCTCCTTAGTCATCTGAGCAGTTTTACTTGAGCATCTCAGATCTTAGAGAAAGTAGAGGGTCACTCTTTGCAGTTTAAGGAGGGTCGTTTGCATTTAACACAGACTAAGTGGAGTAAAATGGGACTGTACAATATCCTAGATCATTTGTACATATGTAGGTTACATGTGTAGTAATACCATAATGGAAATAATCCATTGAATGCAGGAAAGAAGAGTGATTAAGATCCAGAAAAATGATGCTGTCTCAATAATAATTAAATTGAAAACAAATTTGCAACATGGCCCAGAGACTGTAGAGTCCATCCACAAAGGTGGCTTGGTCAGCTGTGCCCAAGCCCTTGGACCAATTACAAGGTATTGTGCTAGGTTATTTTCCAGTGCTCACTTTATATTATGATTGAATATTAGAATTTAGAATGATAAACAGCTAAATGACACATTGGGGAAAATTCTCTTCCCTTTAACTGTGAGCCCCTTCATGGAGCTCATGGTTGGATAATAGCTCTTGGTAGCTGTAGTGGTTCTTTGTGGACAAGTAAAGTTTAAAACAGACTGTTTCTTCATTTTAGTTAAGAACCCATTTTATTTCCTCAGTCACAACCGATTTAGCAGCAGATACCAATCAGCTGGAAGATTAAATGGTTCAGTTGTCTGTTGCTGTTTTAACAATTATAAGCTTAATATATCAGTGCTGTGAGTTATTGGCTTGGTCTCAAAAGAAAGTAACTTCAGAAAGATTTAACAGATATAAAGCCAAATTGGGCAACCAGGGGATGTTTGACATATTTTGTAAGCATTTAAGATTTTGTTTGTGTGAGTGAAACATGCAGTATAATATATTTAAGGGAGTGGGAAGCTGGGATCATGGGGGACCATGTCCTTGATATGTTCTGCTGGTTGTTTGGGGTGTCCGTGCAGAGCAGGTTGGACATGAGGGTGATAAGGTGAGCCTCCAAGCACACCTTATCACCCTGACTACCACCAGCAGAGGTCTCAGGTGGGGGTGATGAGCGCAGTCTCCAAACTTGGTATGCTCCCCATTGACAGATGAAAACAAGCAGATGGTTGTTCTTGTGTAGTTATGCTCTGCGTAGGCTAACAAAGGGGCTAGGGGTAAACGCACACACACGCGCGCGCACACACGCGCGCGCACACACGCACACACACACAGTGGGACAGTGAAAAAAAAGGCCTTGCAGGAACAGCCTGGTGGGAAGAAATGAGTCAGTCTGAGTAACTTTTTCTGTTGAACGTTAGCTTCAAACTCTGTGGTGAATTTATTGGAGAAATTTTAGATGGTTGAATAATTTATTGAATAATTTACTGAATCAGCACACACACACACAGTCTCTGCAGTGAGGAATGGAAATATTTTTTTTAAATCACTATGTTGGGTTAGACAGAAACCAGAGAAATGGTTTGTAGAAGAAGAAAAAGGGAACCAGTGTTAGTTTGAATTTATCGTGTATTTGTGTGCATTTGGATGTGTGTGGCCTGAATTGCAGTGAAGCTGCTGTTTGGTGCGTTGGGATAGCATCAGTGCCCGCCTACACATAGGACTATTGACAGAGCCCGGAGATAAGGCGCTCCTAACAGTATTGGACACTTTCCCTGTGTTGAGTGATTATAAATAGCAGCGTCCTGCCAAGAGTACAATCCTCCCATAGCTGACTAGTCGTATCCATGCTCGTTGCCCAAAAGACACTTTGCAGCAGGAGGGAGCAACTTCAAGAAAAAGACGAATATTGTCCTAAATCACTTCCATCTGTCACATCCTCACACTGTAGGCACATACCTTTGTGTTGTTTCAAAGGAGACAATTGCATGAGCTAGTGCAGGCCGACGGCAGCACCCGAGCCTGCTCTGAAGTTGTTTTATACCAGTACCTCGCGATATATCAGGAAATGTTTTCCCGGGCTCGGAGAGTGAGGCACTGAATTATACATGGTTAGGTGGGCAAAATGACAGTGAATGCTCTAAAGGTGGCTATAGGCATTAAAGCTGCAAGAATGAAAAGCAAGTCAAAAGCTGTTTTTGTTTTT